TGCCAGGACGTGATATGAGGCAGGATGATTTCGATGTATTGAAATGAGTCACAGTGCACAATTCAGCAAAAAACATTTTCTAGAGATAGATGACAGTTAACTGTAAACGATAGGTTGTTCAAGTAGCAATAATAGGTAATCTTCTTGCACTACAAGATTTTCTCTACAATATTTGAGTTCTGTTAACAGGCATTTGAACTTTTGTTTAGTCCAGCATTTTAGCTTTTGTTTAGGAGGTAGGAAAAGTTCCATTCGAATATCAAACATCTTGCACAAGGTCGAAGGTCAGCTAAATATTGTAACTCTACTTTGTTGGCATGAACAGTGTATATTAATACATTCAATGCTTATAACTTCTTGCTTTTGTATGTCATGATAATTATAACACTGTCAGTGATGAAGCTATAGTCATAGCAACAGGTCATGCTATGCAAGCTTTTAATGATTTGCATTATTCAAATAGATGCAGGTTTATTGGCGTGGCATGACCAGTTGCCATGGTAGCTATCTTGCCACTGGATACTGTACAAAATCATATAACATATAAACGATAATAATACTTGAATGAATCATTGGACATGTAGAATTTAATAACAATTTCATATATAGAAATATTGAGTCCGTTTTTGTCCAATTATCGTTTTAATGCAATAATGGCACCTTCAAGGCTGCAAAACAACTGAACAATCTGCTGATGCTTGATGGGGAGACAAAATCTATTTGTTGACAGTTTTGTTTCATACGTCAGCTTCTGATGACACCATTCATTTGTAATGATTACGATTGTACTCGGACAGAACTGCAAAACTATATAATAAAAGAAATTGCGAGCATTATCAAAAAATATAGTATACCTTTTTATGCATCAGTCAAATCCAAGCGTACCCATTCCCCCGGGGCATTTTCATTTTGTTAAGCACGTCCCGGGGTTGGGCATTTGAAGTCAAACCTTTGCCTGGGGGCGGGGCATTTGAAATTAAGGATTTGGAGGTTTTATGATCACCAATAACTTCATAATAATATAATATAAAACAAAACAATACCAGTTTCAGAAAATTTAATAAAATATAAACCAAGTTGTTGTTTAAAAACACATGAATTTAAACCACGCCGCAAACATTAAAAATCTAAATGCGCTAGAGCATGACGACAGCAAAACGCGCTAGAGTATGATGCATAATACTTGATATATTAACAAAGGAAATTCTCTCGAAACATTGAAGAATGTATTCTCCTTATTTTCAGGTAGTTGGATAACCTACTCTTCTTAGCCAAACAGTCCAGCTGTCCCCGGGGTGGGGGATTTTGCTACTGATTTTTTGCCCTGCTGCGGGGCAATTTCACGATTTATATCCCCGCCCCTGGGAATTTGTCGCATATTTTCGAAAATTGTCGAAAGCCTGGGGGTTGGGTCTCGGGAGTATGCTTGGGTTTGATTGATATAGTGGTGCATGACAGCCAGGTGAATATATAAATGTAGGCTGGTAGGATTATTTCATATTATGTTAACATTGGACATATCTCAGAGATATATTTTTACAGACCGTCCAATACATGTAATGGTGGTACTGAATGAAGTTAATATGTGCAGACAACAATCCACACTGTGTTGCTATAGGACTATTTTTGTGCATACAAGTCTTCATATAAACAAGTGGAGCTCATCGATTGTCAGTTTATAGAAAATCTGATTGAGCTTGTCAGATCATCGTACTATTGGAACACAGTATAAACACACAATTGTATACGAATGAAAAATTGTCTGACTTGTGCTTAAAAACTTAATAATTTAAATAATAAAATACTTCGACCAAAACACATTGTTATTTGTGATCAAACGTTCATCATCTTACCTTGAAAAATATCTCGATAAACAGCCAGACATAAAATTTGCGGTACGCCAGCTACAAAATATACAGCAGGCAACGAGGCTGTCGAGGCACACATGTAACATGTTTACAATTTGTCATGGTCCATGGTAATGATCGTGAGGTGCAACCAGGATATTCGGAAAGTCAAATCGCGATGTGGAGAATGTTATTTTTTAAATTTCTGTGACGTCAAAATACGTCATAAATCTGATCATCCGTACAAAGATCCGTACATGCAAAAAATCGAGTTCTTGTTCTGCTATACATAACTCGGCCAAAGAGACTGGGCACATGTAAACGCAATACTTCATGTTAAGAATAGTGTGCTGCCTTCGGCAGCAATAAAGGACTTAGGAAAAAAGTAAATAGACCCCTTCCCGTGTTATACACGTTGGCAGGCAAATGTATTTTAAAAGCCCCAAAGAGAGCTTCTTATTATTATGGTGTAAACACAATGGGGAATATATTATTTTATATAATCGTAATTTGCCAGCCAGCAAAATATAAACAAGGCAAGGACAACCAAAGTTTTATAACAGAAGAAAGACATACAGAAGTGTAACTTCCATTACAAAACCGTAAGGCGATTTCTTACCGAAATAGCTGGCGGCCATGTTCTTAGCAAGTGCCCTAAAGAGAGGCATTCACTCCCCTGGAATATTAATTTTCAATATGTTTTCAGGGGGGTGACTGCCTCTCTTTGGGGCACTTGCTAAGAACATGGCGGACTGAAAAAATCCCTTACGCGAAATTAACCTGAAGTGAGATCTTTGCATGTACTTCCTCTGTGGTTTTATACTCTACACTATAGTATAGTGACCATACGGTAAAATCATACGACATATGCAGTAATAGCAGCATGGCTTGCCTTATTCTGTTTAGATACCGGTATATGTTATACATTTTTCACTTTGTCTTTTGAATTTTATATTGTAGCCGACAGGTTTACACTTTAATAGCGATGCCGCTTTTTTTACTGTATTTATTTTTAAATTTTTGAATAAATTAGCGTAACATCTCAATCAATCTGTGGTCAACATAAATTCAGCCAATCACAATTCTCGGCAGCTGGCTGCCGAGAGTGATCAATTTTACTAGGGCTTCCGGGCAGGCTCTTCTTAATTCAATGATCTGCCCATAAAAAAGCCGGCCACGCTGGCTAAAACAATATGTGATTCGAAAGGAAAGCGACGAAACTTGCGTTAATCCAAAAATAAAACATCGTATTCACGAAGATATGTAGCAAATTTTACAACTTGGGAGCCGGAGGAGGTTGGACAACTGTCACGTGAATATCTCGGCAAGTGAAATCGCGCTATTTTCCCATCGTGTTTGCGAAGATTTTTGGCCTTCAAATCTGCATTGGACACAGAAGCATTCAAAAAATAATAATAATACTCATACTGAGGGGTTTGCTGTATTGGAAGATAGGTATCTGGAAGATAAAATATATATAAATATTTTTTCTATCAAAATGCAACCATGGCCTTAGTATTATAAAAGGAGTGGCGATATCTGCAATAATTTCAGAGGTAAACGTTATTTTTTAATTTTAACCTGTTTTCGATTTATTAAAGTTGGTCGCAATGTGATGACTCAAGTCCGAGTCTGTTTACAACTTTCAAACTAAAAAATCTGGAATTCCCATGGTTCGATTTTCGTAATTTTTGCAAAAAAGTCAAGATAAATGTCTAAGCTTTAAATCTGTTGGAGGGATCCCCCGGCAGTTTTCGAGATATTTGGAATTGAAGAGACCATACCCATTTCAACGTTTGCCAAAATGGCGTCTAATATCTGGGGAAGATATTGGGCCACCAAAGCTTTCACAATGAATTTCGAAAGTTCCCTAATATTAGGATCATTTTTCTTTACAGTAAGTGTTAAATTACTTTTGAATGACTATTTAGAAGACTTAGGAGTTATTTGCCTGTTTTTACAGATTTTATATCTGGACTGGTTTTTATTGACATGCATGGCTATCTCCTTCACATGCATGCCTATCTCCATTGCCAGTGAAATTGTCTGGTGATAGAGACGATTGTAAAAGAACAGCACATTATAAAGTGATCAGATTCTCCCTCAGTGAAAAATGCTATGTTCCTTTTTAATTACAGGGGTTCAGATGTCGATATGGAATTGAAAAAGGGCTTCTTCCTGGACATCCGAGGACAGGGGCAACTGATGTTAACAAATGAAGATTTATATTTTTGATAAAATGTTGTCTTTTATCTCTTGTCCTTTGTGATGTCTCTCCGAAAGTTATCGGCGAATACACATTGAGCTGTGATCCCTAAACGTGGCCAACAACATGCCCCACCAAATACCTAAGCACAATTTAGAAAGTGTACATACATGCATGTACTGTATCGTATTTACATGCTTGAGCATATTTGTTCAAATTTATTGACATTTAATTAAATTGTGTTTGTTATAGCAGTGTACAGTTGGCACCAGTCACTCTTGAAATTAGACAGCCACTTTTTATTAGATGGCCATGGATGACCTAAGACATTGTTTTCTTGTAATAGGTTGCCACACCCACCATATTTTCTGGACTGCTAGCTTTAAAACCCTGGCTGCAGGTACAGTTATTGCATATACATGTAGTATAATTTACCATATTTTGGTTTTGTAGTATGCATGAACACTACTATATTAAATTAAAGGAGGAAGCATTTTCAAGGGCAGGTAAACTATTTGATACTTCAGAACACCATCCAGAGTCAAGAGGTGTATATAGAAACAAGTAACTAGAGACCCATATTTTGACTAGAAGTAAGAGCCATTTTAAATTCAATTTAGCCTGATTTTCACGAAGTATCCATTATATAACATCTACTTCCACCATCGGAACCAACTTTAAAACGAACTGCAGTCAAACTTTACAACATACATTCCGAACTTACAAATAAACATTGATGGTCAGATTTCAAAGACAACTTGAAATTGACAGTAAGATGTAATTTTGTTGTTGGGGATGGGTTGGTGCTTTAGGGTTAGGTCCAATTCCTGCAAAAGGGTTACACAAAGTCACAGCAATTTCAAAATTAATTATATGGCTTCATAAAATAAGTTCTATTCAGTCACGAAATAGGTAGATGCATTTATTTATAGCACATGGTATCTTATTATGTACATGTAATGTAGTTTAATAGTGTACTTATTTTAAAAAAAGCTATTTTGAGGGAGTTGAACAAGTGCACATGACAGATATTGTTTTTTTATAGATATACACATCCACTTAAATTAAATTATTTTTGTTTGGAAATTGAAATCATAACATAGTTTCATAACTTGGTAAAACCTAACCAGTTGCTATACCGAACAAATCACAAATATCTGTCACCACCCACTCAAACACTCCCTTATCTGAACCTCCCACTCTTCGAGCCATTCACTACATCTGTTATAAATATCCAAATATTTGGACAAAACCCCATTCTTAGGAAATCAACCCTATACTTGACATGCTGAACAAATACATCTATAATATCTGCTGTGGCATTGAGAGGTGGTGCAAATACTTGCATAGTTCAGAAGCAATGTATCCGAGATGTGTTCATCCAGTTCCATAGTCAAGATCAATAGCAATTGCATTTGGATTCATTGGCTCTGTCCTTACGTTTAATCTTCACTGACATGTTTTGTTGAAGAGCCAAGTATGCCTAGCTGTTGGTACTACACTGATATATTTGAATGATACAAATAGGTGATTTCTACATCTTAATTCCTCTCATTTTCATCACCTTCTGTTTCATGACTTTAATTCCGCCTTCAACATTGATTAAATTCGCAATCTGCCAACCAATCAATTAGATCTCATTCTACGAAATCATAATAAGAAAATCCTTATTTTAGATTGCTGTAATTTATAAAATTAGAATTCGTAAGTGAAACTGTAATCCATATAATTAGAACAAGAACTCACATGCCCTAGTTTAATAGATGAAATTTATAAACATAGTAGCGAGCATAGTATAATTAAAATCCATCCACAACCAGATGAAAACAAAGATTATACAATCATTATACTTTGGCAAGAAGTTTATAAACACTATTCACTGTAGCACACACACAATACCTTCATATTCATTTGAGAACCAATGTTCGTCATCTGAATAATTTCCATTTGATCCATCAAGGTTGTCTTAGGAGTCTCCTTAAATACAGTGCAATCAGAAACCTAGGCTATCTTGATGAACTTTCGTAGCTTGACATTTTCGTGTCCATCTCCTTTTGGCCAGATCGATGTTTACTTCACGGCAGTCAACGCATCAATGAGGCCGCACGTGGAATCAGGCGCTCATTACCCATTATACTTTGCGACCTGCTGTCCGACTTCCTCTGCTTGGAAGCTTTTAATTTTCAATATAATATATCATTTACAGACCCTCCGCTCGGGGGCCTCGGCGGATTCGGCGAAATATTACCTTCAGTAATTCAGGCAATATTTCGCCGAATCCCCCTCGCTGCAGGTCTATAAATGATAATTATCGTGCCTTATATCAAGACAAGACTTTATTGCACCCTTTGTTTTTACAATTCAGAATATTAATTAAGGCAAGCAGATCAATCAGATCTTATTTTTATATTATTTTACTGAAGATCTTTATATTATCATGGATTGAATTCCATACAACGATTGCAATCAAATCTGCCTTTATTACATTTTCACAAACAAAACCTGATTCGCTGATTTTTTCTAAAAACTGTAAACAATTTTACTTATATCTTTTAATATTGCCTTAAGAATCCAATTTATTTTCAGATCAGCAGGGGGGGGGGGCGGAGGAGCCCCCCCCCCCAGTTTGTTGGGCAAACAAAGCCAATCGGGCAATATTCGCTTCACAGTCGGGCAATATTGGCTTATTATAAAAATAAATGGGACAAATTGTATCAATTTTGTCGGAAATTCAGTCAATTTTGTTGGAAATATGCTATATAATAGGAATTTTTCGTAGTCACTCCTCCCCCCCCCCCCCCCCCAACTTTGGAAAGTTTCTCCGGAAAATTTTTGTTTTGACAACGAGGGCACAATCCGAAAAAGTCGGGCAAATTTCTTTCCGCCACTCTAATTTTTTCCTTCCCTTACGCCCATGCATACAACATCGTACCCAGAGTATTTCCTTCGCTGACCCCCTGCTGCGGAAATACCCTGGTGCCGGCTGGTCACGGGGCTCCTAAGATATTAAATTACCAAGGCAGGGAGGGGCAAATCTCAAATTACAATGCTTCCACTTTCCAATAGTAAAATTCGTTGGCAAAGAGCGGACGGTATGGTTTGAATTACAAAAAGTGTAATTTGAGTGCACTTTACTGATATCGCAATTTATCATTGTATTGAATACTTCATGTCAAATTACCAATTTTGCGCGTGTTTGTGATATCGTTTTGTCATTCACATGCCGCTAGGCCATAGAAGCGAAGTTGATAATTTCAATTTAAACGAACGCGGACTCGAACGGAGATGCTCGAGTTCACTGCATTTCTTGCTTGTCTGGAATTCGTTGTTCGGAATGGGCATATCATAACTGTTACAACACACTGAAGCCGAAACAAGTTCTCAGTTGTTTGGAAAGTATTTATTTATTTATTCAACTTCGCCAGGTAAAATTACACGATTGATAACATCAATTGTTTAAACGTCGACAAGAGTTACAATTTAAACATACAGATCTCAATATTCTTGTATCCTCTGCATCAAAAGAACTGTGCAGGAATGCTTGAAATATGCTTAAACATATATTATTTACTCAGAAAAGATGTTATTGTATGCTGCCAACGGGTTATGAACTGTCTCTGATTTTTCAACTGACTCCATTGTTGATGTTTGCAAGAAATCATATTAAACAAGTCGACTTTCTTTCTCCATGGAAATCAGTTGGAATACCTACTCATGACGTTTCGTCTATTGTTACTGTTGTGTCTCCCTTGAATTTACTGATACAAGATCAAATATTTCGACTGAAATCAGTGGCCTTCGTGCGTCTGCCATTTCTATAAATATTTGCAAAGAAATATTCCATGGAGAAATCACAATTGGATTGCCCATTTTGGGTTTTGGGTTTAAATAGGGATTACTAACATACGTACAGGATGACTATATTTATTAACTACTGTAAAGTATATTGGTAGATAATATTCATAAAGAATTGACTCACTTCTATTGGCATGGGTAATGGTGTGGCAGATCTAGTTTCATTACTCGAGACGGACACATTGACAAAGTCTAAAGCCAAACTGCGCCTTCGACTTTCAACTGCAGCAACCTTTGCCGAATGTCTGGCAACTAATGGAGAAACTTGAGGGCATCGATTGGATCGGGAATCTTTTACTAAGGATTTCCGTGTTTCGGAAATTACATTCTTGAATGAAATCGTATTATTTATTCGTTGTTCACAAGGACGGCAGGTCAAACAAGGAAAACCATCAAAATGCGACAGTTTCTCGCCATGAATCAACTCCATGTTATTCAAAATTCTTTCATTTGTTTTGTTGAAGAGACTCTTACAATGTCTCTGATCTTGTACACCATTACATAATCGACAACACCAGAACTATTATCAGTTGATCCAGAAGATTTTTTGTAAAATTTCTTTGGAGTGCTTTTGCTAAGCCGATATATTGCCGATACAGTGAACTACGAGATATTTGTAATTTTGAGAGCAATAAGGTACTCTTTCGGCTGCAACACATGATTAACCTGTTGTTTTTTAACATTTCTTCAAGAAGAAATCTTTTATTATTGTCTCGTAACACACGAAAACTTAGAATTTTACTATTTTACAAATTCGGAAACAATTTCAGTACGTAACAAATCATGACTATCACCCCTCCCTAAATAACAATTTATTTCAGCACCCAAAATCTGGGAGCCCCGCGATCAGCCGGCACCAGGGTATTTCCGCAGCAGGGGGAGAGCGAAGGTAATACGCTGGGTTTGGGTTACGAGGTTGTGAAACATAGTGACGCGCTCGCGATCATTTATGGCTCACTCCGCTAGATTTCCTTCGCTCGAGTAAAAATAGCCCATAGCGCAATTAGTAGCAAGCATTTTTTTGTGAATCGCAAAATTTAATTGGCTTTGACGTGGCAGGAATTCCCGTATTGACATGCTGTCATGTACGGACATACCGAATCCTTTTCCCTTTGCGACATATGCTGAGTTTTGAACGAAAATATATCTAAAACATTTTTTGAATAACCAAAACGATGCAAAATAACCAAAACAATACAGGAAAAAAGAAGAAGATTTATTACCAAAGACAAAAATAGTACGAAAAGAATACAAAATAAATATAACAGATTATGTAAAATTGGCCATCTAAATAGTCACAGAGGACTAGCTTATAGTTAGTTGGCTGGTTAGGATAGTAATAAATTAAGTAAATGACTGATATAAAGAGGTCGAACTAAGATACAATATAAATTAAAGAAAAAAGAAAGAAAGATTAAAGCATACTGTATTTAAAGTTCTTATATATGCGTAAGTCTGAACCATTCAGACGGACAATTCATTCAAACGGACATTCTATTTCTTGACTTCGCTAAAGCCTTCGACTCAGTGGATCATGTTATTCTCTTAAGAAAGCTGAAAGATTACGGTATCACAGGAAACCTTTACAGATGATTCTCTGACTACCTGCATAACCGTACCCAGCGTGTTGTTGTACAGGGTGCTGCTTCGTCATGATCCCCTGTCACTTCTGGCGTTCCACAGGGAAGCATCTTGAGCCCAATGCTTTTCTTACTGTACTCTTAATTAACGATCTTCCTGATGTCATTCCTGAATCTACATCAACAGGGCTGTACGCTGTTACCAAATTATATAAAGAAATCTCAACTCCATAGGATTGTTCACAGTTACAAGAAGCTTTGTCGTGTGCGGATGTTTGGAGTAAGAATAACAACATCAACTTTAATCCATCAAAATGTAAAATATTGACATTCTCCCGCCGTAAAACACCTTTTCTATTCGAATATTATCTGGGATCATCCGAATTGCAGTGTGTGAATGATGAAGTTGATCTGGGAATCACAGTGACCAGTAACCTTTCATTGGACAACCCATATCATTAAAATAAAAGTCAAGGTGAACAGGTTGCTGGGTTTGCTTAGAAGAACATGCCCCTTGCTAACAGACCGCAGTATCCGGCGCACTCTGTATCTTTCGCTCGTCAAGTCACAATTATGCTATGAGGATTGGTCTCCCTCCCAATATAATAACAAATTAAATCTGGAGCAAGTCCAAAGGCGTGCAACAAGATGGTTCCTTCAATCGAAGAAAGGTGTCATGGCCTCAAAGGACAGATTGCTGGCTCTGGATCTTTTACCACTGGCGTTTGACAGGGAAATTAAGGATTTGACATTTACGTTTAAAACTTGGCATGGTTTTTATGATTTAGATGTTTTCGATTTTGTGTCATTTGTTAATTAATCATGGTCGTACCCGTAATTGTAATAATCCTTCTCTAGTGCTTAAAGTTCCGTCATGTAAAAGTACGTAGCACTTTTCAGTCATCGTTCTTTAATCGTATTGTTCCACTCTGGAATCATACTTGCAAAATTGCTTCTCCTGGAGATTTTCGCAGTTTGGCAACTTTTAAATCCTTCTTATCAAGAACATACTTCAATTTATTAAGTAGTAGTTTTGATGTTGACATGTGCTGTACGTGGTCTTTGTATCATGCCATAGGATAGTTAATTCTGATGTAAACATACACCATCTCCTCGTGTCAGGATTTGTTTTATCCTGATTCAGCTTTCAATTTTTAACATGATTATACAAATCTGTATTATGTATGATAACTTAAATGTGGTGCAATAGCCGTCCTAATTTGATATTAATCAGCTGGTATATGTTTACCAATTTATATAATATTGTCGTAAATAATGATAATAGATATAAACAAAATTCAAGAGGGAGAGTGTCATGGGTCTTCAGTCCCGTTCGCACTCTTGCCATTTGAACATCGTTCAATAAAGCCGTTAAAACAAAATAAAACATAAAACAAGTCTCAAAATACGGAATAGTAGGAATTATTGGACATTTCCATCGGAATCGGAGGCAGTTGCGATGTATAAGGTTACGCCAAAGTTGCAATTTTATACATTTTTAGCCTCTGAACGTTCTCGTACTTTCCTCTCCTTCCCAATAATGCAATAGATTAACAATGTTTCGGTTAGTAGAAAAAATGATCCTAAAAACGCCAATAAAACGCTCAAAAATCAAAATACTATATATTTACTCGCCCCAAGTCTCTTTCTCTTAAACCGCGAAAATTGTAGCGCATGCGCAGATAAACTTCTCACCTGTTCAGCTCATAGATATAGAAGACCTAACACCGCGGAAAAATGTCTGCGCATGCGCGTGCACTAAAAAAAATGGCAAGGAATTTAAATGCCAAATTGTAAACAAAAACATGCATGCTAATATTTAAAGATAATTGAAACAAACATAAAATACACTAGACGGGTAGTTTAGACATTAATAAAAGGTTTTCAAACATTTAAGGTATAAAAAAAAACAGAATGTAAATTAAAAATTATCGTTTAAGACCGGGAGGCGTGTGAAATTTCAAGAAAAATTGTCGAATAACGAATTTAAGACACAAAAGTGTCATCCATGCACGCAGGATGTGCTCACATTTTGGAAAGCGTAAAAAAACAGTTGCCGCGAGTCGTGTTTTTTTACGCTCTCCAAAGGTCTTACAAGTTCCCGTGACCCGTGACCGTGTGCATGGATGACGCTATCCTGCAAAACCTGATTATAGACAACGAATTACTAAAAATAATCAATATTGGAATAACCCGGCATTGGAAGTACCTTACGTCCGTTGCCCAGTCCGGTTTGAGCTACAACTCAGAGGGTTTGGGAAGTAAAACGCAAGTATATATTTTCACTTACCACTATCGTTTCTTCGCCGTTTTCTATTGCGAATTAATTTAAACTCTTTTACGATTTTATTATTTTTTATAAAGTTATACAAGATAATTAATTCTTGAATTGCATACTGATTTTACGCATGCGCAAGAGAAATATATTAAAAGGCAAAAACGTCGACGTAATTAATCTACGGCTATGTATACGAGTTTACGAAATTTCGAGCGCAATCTTTCCTCTTTTTTATTTCAAGAAGGGTCAGGACTGGCGAGCGAAAAGGATGGATGCAGGCTACAAACAGAGCCAGGGATTGATATGGAAAGACTGATAAATGTGGCGTTGTCCAGGTACATGTTTAATGGGTACGTGTATAAAATAATAATCGCTCTTGTATAAAGCAGCTAAAAAAGCTTATGGTTTCAATTATTTTAGCTTAAATTATTCGTTTGCTACTATTGAATACTTCTTGCAACATATCATTTTCTAAACTAATTTTTCCAAGTGTTTATAAAGATCGGTTTTCAATATAGAATTATCACCACTATATAGAATATGGAAGTCTGGTAAGCTTTTAAATTTAAAATATTTGGTGTTACTACAGTATATATGTAGGGCAAATGTTCTAGTAACACAGTAGCGCAACTTTTTGGTCCCCCGCAGCACAAATGGGCAAACCCTGGTCAAGTAAGGGCCTCAGCTAGGCAAGGATAACAAATTGGCAGGGGATCCTCCGAGTTTGGCACAAAATGATGCTAAGGCAATAACACCATGTGCTGCCCATTGTACCGCCCTTGAAATTACTTGCAGTAATAGCAACATGTATTTTAATTATAAGTATCAAAAGCTAATTAACTATACACTGATGCATTGAAAGCTTGCCGAACTACGGTGTTCCTGGCTGTAATATGCCTCGAACTTTTAACACCTTGATGGTTTCTGTGTGTGTTCGTGTTATGTCCTCAGGTGAATATGATGTTGGTTAATATGGTACTCTGAGTGTGCATCCACGCCGGGCATGCTGAAAAGTTTGTCTTACAACGGTTGGAATAAAACCCGTGACCTTTGTGATACTAGTCAAATATCACAGACAGAAATCATCATATCTTAGAATAGATTGATGTCGAAGGAACTAGACTCTTTTCCACCAACTCGATCGACCAACTTGACCTCGTAGCTCAGTTGGTAGAGCTTTAGACTAGTTTCTCAAAGGTCGCGGATTCCCACCGTGGTCTTGCAAACTTTTCAGCTAGCCCGGCGTGGATGCACACTCAGAATAACATCACAAACATTATTTTATAACACCTTGTTAACCTTAGAATAATAAGATAATTTTAGGTCAATTAAGCATGAAAGAAAGCTCACCTGAGTTGCTAGCATCTGCTACCAAAGCACCTTTTCCGTTAACACCACCTGACCAAATAGTACAGCTATTTTTACACTGATTTTTTCTTCCGGATGTTCCTGTACTTGCATCACAGCGTGTTAACCTCGTTTGGAGACTCTCGATCCCACCGCCACCGCCAGCAATAATAACCGGGTTGTTCGATGACGTAGCTACGAATGTTCCACCACCCCCTCCTGATGCTCGGCTGCGAGAATTTATACTACCCTCTTGTCCAACCAATATTTTCAATACATCTCCTTTGTTCAGTTCAAATTTTCCTCTCATGTAAGCACCCCGACCTCGCGCTGCTGATCCTAGTGTATCGTACCCTCCAGCCGCACCAACTGTTTTGATTTCGTATGTACCAGTGTAGGGAACTGTCCAGTACTGTATACCATTGCTGACAGTCACCATGTTACCATGGTCTTTACCCACATAGTAAGAACCAAGTGATGTAGGACCAAAACGGCCACTGGCACCAAGATTTGTAAATTTTGCGTAAAACGCCATTGCTAAAATATTAATATATCGATACAAGAGCAAGTCAAAACGATAACTAGAATGGAAAGGGAGACAGCTTAGGGACGATCCGTATGAACAGCAGCAGAGTAGTTCTACACTCAAGTGAATTGATACTTCAATAATTATAAAGTACTATTTTTGAAAATAGAAATAGTTTTGATTAAAGACACTTCTCGAATTGCTGGCTGACAATTAATTTAAAGATACTTATTTACACATATTTTTTCGAAAATGATTGAACTCTCTTCAAAGGTTTTGTAATTGGCTTTTTACTTATTATTTTTAATTAGTTTATTAAAACCTCTTGCAGTTTATGAACTGAATTACGGGTTATATGACACTGAATTTCAAAATATACTTACTTACATTAAAAGTAAGTTTACATCCAAGACAATACAAAATCAGTCCACTTATTTTATCGTAACAGAGCTGCCGAGCCGATCGGTTCAGGCTTTATATTTTCGTCACGATTCTCACGTATATAAGATCATCGCCATGATTTAATGGTACTGTTCGGCAATACCATGTAAAATGCATTTCCAGAATGGATAAATGCTCCACAGATTTCTTAATTACAAGCTACATATACCATACGTAAGTCGAGCGATTGAATACAAGCTAATTTTAAGGCGTCATCATATGAATAGGTAGGGTATATTGTATACAATTCAGTTATTGATCCCTTTCTATATCGTTGCTAAGTGTTTACTCGAAATCAAATTGTGTAAACCAGGGGGGGTGTCTTTTTTGTTTCGTATTTTGAGTGAATGGATGGAATATTTGTTGGGTTTTTAATTACTGTACAAAATTTCAGACAATTTGCTTTAGTCTAAGACCTTTCACTATCGCATGCTTAATTAATGCATTTACCTAATTTGCATATTGCTGACATATGCAAATTAGGCAAAAGCATTAATTAAGCATGCAAAAAGGCTGATTTTTTAGGAAAAAATGCAAGTTTGGGTGAATAGTTAAAGGGCTTAATCTGATGCAAATTGTCTGAAATTCCGTGCAGCAATTAAACACCCAACACATTTTCACCCATTAACTCAAAATACGATAGTTAAAGCTTTTAAATCTCGTGCGCAAACCATTTTTAGTTTGTTGGAAAAGAAACACCCCCTGGTTTACAAAATTTGAGTCCGAGAAATTTTTTTTATTATTCTACATTAAGTACCCAAAGAAACTATATATATATATATATATATATAATAGCTGTTTTGCGAAACTCAAGAGCAATTTCAAATCTATTCAGTTTTTTTATACACCCTGTATATATATACATATACACACACACACATATATATATATATATATATATAAATATATATATATATATATATATATATATATATATATATATATATATATATATATATATATATATATATATATATATATATATATATATATACCATATATGCATGTATAGAGCTAATAGCCTATAAAGATAAAGATAAAATAAATTAACCTGGTTTACTTCAAAAGGGGAGGTCATCCCCCTATAATTTGTAAACTAGCGATAATCTGTAAAGTGTGAGAGGGTAATAATAACCTAACACGCAATCAGCCCCCCCCCCCCAAAAAAAAAAAATTACTTCCAACACGGTAGTGGACAAACAACGTTTTTCGTGCTTAACGTACTGGTTATTAAAATTATAGTCTCTATTAATATAGATTAGCACTGCCTTCTCTAACGTAACATACAAGCTGTATTGACAAACCTTTTTCGTGCTTAAGATCACGCACAGTGTCGGTTACATTCTGCAGCTGAGATTTCAGATCAGCGAGACTTGTATTAAGGAGCCTGGTTATCTTTAAAGAAAAATAAGTTGCTGTAAAATAATAACAAATAATATGTTACGTTGAATAATTTTGATTAAACAAGCAAGCGTATGTGCAGCCTTTAACCATTTCCTTCCAAACTAATACAAGGCGTTATTTTAAGCAATTTTTAGTGGCAGCCTTTGAGAGTGATGCAACAGCTTTAAATTCCTAATTCCCCCCGGAAAAATGGAAATATTAACTGCAGAAAAGTGAGATTTTTAAAAACCAGAAAAAATAAATGAACGACGACTAGTTGTAAAGACCAATTTTTGTTAATTGTTGGCCGATGTGCAGGCTTATTGGGCAGCTGTGGAATGAAAGATATACAATGACCACCTTAAAAATACAAACGCAACTTCAACGTTTCGAGCGAAGGTCCTCTACTCTATACAGGCTTCAAATATGTAAACCTAACTGTGGCATGAAATTACAAAGAGCTGCATGTGCACAAAAAAGTGTTTCAAATTTACACTTATACCTTCTCAATTTGATCAAGTTTTGGTTTGACTTGTTTCATGACTCCCTCCAGCACCTATTATATAGGGTATACAGTATAGAAAAGTGTTGTTATCTGTGGGCCTTTTAACTTAAAATGGTCTTTGGCGAATCGGGGATACTATCTATTAAAAATGCAGACTTGTCGCTAGAACAAAAGTATTTTAACGAGTAAGTTAATTAGAACTTACGTAGTGAACGCTAGATTGCAATTTAACATTGATATGTAGATCTGTTTACAAATTCTGATAACAAATTTGAACAAAATTTTAAAAATTTTGTTATCATGGCAACCATTGACTGCGCAACGACATTAGCATATTGTTTCAGGTTGCAATAATGTTTTAGAGCTGTATTCATTTTGTTAGAAAAGGCGAGGTGTTACTGCATGCATGCATGCATGCATGTATTTCTAGTCTTTGATATTTTCCCAGATAATTAAATGCAGATTACACCTTACCTCTTCATCTCCACCAATCATACTCCAAGTTTCATTTAACCGTATGTAAAGTTTTTGGTTGTTTTTTCGATACTCTAATAATCCTGGGACAGGCGGTACTTTCCGTGCAGCGGCAGCATCTGGAACAACAATAATCTAAAAAGGATAATTAACATGATTGGAAAGTTAATTAACCATGCTAATTAACCACGCTTCTATTCCTTTTCGCGCGCGCGGACATGTCACACATTCATTATAATGTTCGCGTATATTTTATGGACGATACGCTGACTTGTAGTTTTAACATAATTATGAAGGTATACTACAATTAATGGTTATAATAAAACAGTCGTCACTGACTTACACCGTCATTTAAAAGAGCTTCTTTCTGAGTGCATCGACCCTGAGGTGAAAAAAAGCAAAGTTTTGTTATGTGCACGTGTTTGTAAGGTGCATATTTCACGTCGAACATGACGCGCCATGTATCCGCTTTTCATCTGACGAGGTAATATCTTTTTAATTAATTTTGACTAGTACTATAGACCAATTGCAAAACTTAGTAACCGCGCCTTCGCATAACATGAAAACGAGGCTTATTATGCAAAACACAAAATTCTATTTTTTGTTTTGTTCGAAAGTCAAAGAGTGAGGCACCAAGTTTTATGGCAGTTTTCTCTCGTTTTATCAAGTTTTTAGATACTTTTTCAGCGTAGTCAAGTCAATTATTATCCTAGTTATTAGTATAGTTAGTTTTTTCTTCATCTGACGCGTTTTCGTGGGGTCTTTTTAATCATTTTGACGGCGCGGGCCGGTGGAAATATCATGGAAAACATCGAAGCAAACTCAGGTAAGCAAAACTTTTTTGCGAAATAATTTGTTATAAAGTTATTTTACCATTTTTGTGGACCCCAGTTTGATTTTTTAAAACACGTGCATCAATTTAAATCTAATATCCGGTTTGAAATCGGCCAATTTCCGGCGAAAATATTACCTTTTCTGCAATGCGTTTGTAAAAAGGTCGCCGCCATTCTTGTTCTGTTTGAAACTGTTTACATCGCAATTTGTTTTACAAATAATGGCAATATTTAAATCATGACATAACAAATATAAAAGGAAATTTTAGCTGGTGTGATAAGATGAAATGTCTCATCGATTGTTTGGTTTCTTTTCGTTGTTTGCATGCAGACATCGACTGATTCACAACAACAAGGGAAATATGAAACTGAAGTCGAAGAGGCAAGCTAAACAACTTACCTGAGATTCATTTTACAATACTTTTATACAATACTCATACTACATTATTTGTCAATTTGTTTTCTTTTCGTTATTTTTTATGCAGACATCAACGACAAGGAAAATTTGAAGCCAAAATCTACATCAAAATCCCGAGGATTACAATGCTCTTTATATTTCAACTGTATAAACCGTGCATTAGGTGCATACCCTTACCAAACTGACAGATATATGGCAGATATATGCCACAGTTTTGTAAAATATCTGCAAAATATGTGCAAGAAAGTATCTGTCACATATCTGCGACATATAGGAATTTGGCCCCATGACATATCTGTCACAGTTATGTGGCAGATATCTGTCACAGTAAAGTTATATGTGACAGACACCTGTCACAGTTATGTGACAGACATCTGCCACATATCTGCAACATATAGGAATTTGACCCAATAACATATCCATCACAGTTATGTGACAGTATAGTTTCCCTACAGATAAAATTGTATATTATCTACCAAGCAGATATGTAACATAACTACCACCAAGTGAGATTTATTTCTACCATAAAATTAAAACTATTTCCTCTTACTTCTGCAATATAAAGTTGCTGCAACTGTACCTCTGCCATGTTCAATTGAAGCCATAATAATTTAATACAAAGAAATACTATCAGAATATTAATTTAATATTAGTAAAATATATTAAATATATAATTATAGCTAGGTCACACATATAGATAAATTTAAGACTGTATTGTGTATAATCAACCATTCACCAGGGGCCAGTTGTTGAAAGCTGGATTAGGTAATTTAGCCCTGTAGCTTAATTCAAAGCAAACTTCCTGACAGCTTGTCTATAAATTTGGAAATATTTCTTCAGAGATCTTGTCTGGATCGATAGGAGTTTTCTTCTCTGACGTTTTGAAATAAACAGACGTTTTGAAATAAACAGGCATGCAGAAATACACAAACTAAAACAGCAGGTTAAATTTTAACTCAGGGTTATCACTAGTCCAGCTTTGAACAACCGGCCCCAGAGTACTTACACATACGGTACTTATAACTATAACGGTATAACCTACACTTATTTAAAATTTTCTAATATTATATAATTATATTATTTATGGCCAGAAATAAATATTGAGTATCTAAACGTCAATAATTGTTAATTGTCAAGTCTCACTCAGATGGTTTGCTTTTAGTTTCTCCTCTTCGAGCCCCACAGCATTTGTGCTGTACATACCGTTTTTGCATATAGCAGCTGTCTTTCTATAGACTGTATCGTCCAGAGCAAAAGCTAAAAAAATAGGAATTGATAAAATCATATGTTTACATGTTTTAGCTTTAATTACATGTTACATGTTTTAGCTTTAATTGGCATTACGATAGCAAGAATAATCTAGTGTTAGGCCAAATATGGGATGCCCTTAGGGTAGCCATATCTGATGGGTAACCAGGTATATATTGGCTAAACCATCTACTTGATTACATTCGATTCAATTAACACTATTTTTGTAAAGTATATATTACAGGAGACTTTAGGACTTACTGATGAGTTAGTATATGAAGCATGAAAAGATATGTAAATTTGTTTGGTATCAGACAGAGTAAATTAACAAGACGGAGCGCATTAGGACAAATTGCAGGTCAATGGGTCCAGCCACAGCCTTCCCCCTGCATTATTGCAGGCTTATGGACAGCTTTACATGTACTGTACTGACTTATTCATGACAGAAAACTGGCTATTGCACACTGACCCTTTATCTAAACTAACTGTTGTACACTATGCTCAATTTTTGCTATGGCGCAGATAAAATTGGTACCTGTTGTCCTGTACCAAATTTATTTGTGCTCGTCCTGTATGAATATAGGTAGTCCATGCATGGTAAACATGTTAAGGGTACAAAAATTGAGCACAGTATAAACAGGCCTTAAAATGGGCTGCATTTGGAGGTAGGCTTAGGGGGATTCATGTGTAATTGTGTTGATACTATAATTACTAAATCCTTGATGCAGTATCAAGAAATAATTCCTACAAACAACCTCCTTAGAGGCTGTTTACAAGATCCAGACTGATTATCTGGCCTGGATGGCCACCTTGGCTGGGACAGTCATCGATTGTTTGGTTTCTTTTCGTTGTTTAACCTGGCCGGCTCCAACATAATATAGCAAATTTTGTCAAATATAACAAATTGACAAATAATATAGTATGAGTATTGTATAACGTTGTACGCTGTTTAGCTTGCCTCTTCGACTTCGGTTTCAAATATCCCTTGTTGTTGTTGTGGCTGTTTGCATGCAAACAACGAAAAGAAACCAAACAATCGATGAGATATTTCATCTTATCACACCAGCTAAAATTTCCTTTTATATTTGTTATGTCATGATTTAAATATTGCCATTTTTTGTAAATCAAATTGCGATGTAAACAGTTTCAAAACAGAACAAGAATGGCGGCGACCTTTTTACAAACGCATTGCAGAAAACGTAAATATTTTCGCCGGAAATTGGCCGATTTCGAACCCGATATTAGATTTAAATTGATGCACGTGTTTTAAAAAATCAAACTGGGATCCACAAAAATGGTAAAATAACTTTATAACAAATTATTTCGCAAAAAAGGTTTGCTTACCTGAGTTTGCTTCGATGTTTTCCATGATATTTCCACCGGCCCGCGCCGTCAAAATGATTAAAAAGACCCCACGAAAACGCGTCAAATGAAGAAAAAACTAACTATACTAATAACTAGGATAATAATTGATTTGACTACGCTGAAAAAGTATCTAAAAACTTGATAAAACGAGAGAAAACTGCCATAAAACTTGGTGCCTCACTCTCTGACTTTCGAACAAAACAAAAAATAGAATTTTGCGTTTTGCATAATAAGCCTCGTTTTCATGTTATGCGAAGGCGCGGTTATTCGCATTAAGTCGCAATTGGTCTATATATTGCTTAATTTTGGAGAGAAAACTTTCTGCAATCTATAAATAAATAAGTGCGCCGTGATATTTTATTATACTAACCAAAATCTAATAAATTGATACTAACCAAAATGGGAACAGCGTTTCCTTTATACAACTTGTACCAAACTACTTTTCCGTTGGCCAGGGTTACTTTATACTCCATACATTTGTTCCAAAGTCTTTTTGACAATGATGATCTCACCCAAAACCATGTATAGATATTCTTGGCAATGGTTCCACCCTGCCTAGCCTGACACTCAACACCACAATAGTCTTTTGAGCCGCCGATGGGACCGAAACAACCACAGCACTGTAAAGAGATAGTTGACAATGTATACGCAGTTTGCAAAAAAGGTGCCATCACTATGTTCAACCTATATGTTATTCAGTGAATTATTACTCATATATCATCGCAATTGTTGGTTATTAACAGTTTCTTGCCCTTTTATGCTTAGTTTTATGCTTATTCGACGGTTGCCAGTTGCCTGTTGCTGCTAAGATCACTATCTGGTAACATCGGAGACGGGTACGAAATACCGTTCATACACACGTTATATATACATAATTTGTGTGCATATGTATGCATATACATTAAATACATAATTTGATACAAGCAAGTTAAACGGTCAGTTGCTACGGAGGACGTCTTTAGAAGTAATAGTTCAAATACGAGACAGAGGACTTTACCGGGATTTCAAAGTCCGAGAGCGTTTTGAAAAGGCGAGCCGCATGCAGGCGAGCCTTTTTAATGTTCGAGGACTTCGAAATCCCGGTAAAGTCCTCTGTCTCGTATTTGAACTGACTTCTCAAACTCATCAATTAGGCAATGTTTTACGCATGCATGAATATTTTTACTTGAAATTAATATGCTGCGAATGCTACGCCATGCGACAAGCTTGTACAGATTGTTGTAAGCGAGCTGAGTGCGAGACATGGCAGAGAACGATAGAACGGTTTCAAGGTGAAGACAAACTTCGATTAACGCATAAAAGCGAAGTATCGGCTGACAATTTTGGTCTCAGCAAGGTGAGTAAGACAGAAAACGATATTTTTTGTCTTTGAGTTTCAGTTTATGGAATATTTACCTAGCGAGTGAAGAGTTGTTAAATGTTTTATCCCATACCTGTATTAAAAGCGGCTTTCTGATTGGTTTAAAGCAGGTTGTCGTCGAGCTCACCTGCTTTTTGCCGAACTCACCTGCTTTTCGCCCGAGCTCACCCGCTAAACTGCTTACGTTGCAATAACAATAACAAATATGGCGGACAAGATTTAGGCGATATATAAACCTAAACTTTAAAGAACTTTTTTCGGTGACTAACATACTGAGACTGAAGAAAAACCAAAGAAAAACCAAAGTAAAGGTAATGTAGACATAGATAAAGAAGTATTTTCTTGCTCAGTGATTTTTTTGGCCGGGAAAATGTTCACACAACATCGACGAATGTATCGCGAAGAGCTGCAAATGTGTGTATGGCTCGGTGTATGGGATAAAAACCAAACGTACTTGCAGGTTCGGTGAGTCCGGGATTGGACGCACCTCGGGTGGCTGGAAGTTTCCCGCACTCACCTCGCTTCGCTCGGTAAGTTCGGGAAACTTCCAGCCACCCTCGGTGCGTCCAATCCCGGACTCACCTCCCTGCAAGTACGTTTGTTATATTATCTCATACCTAGCGTATTAGCGGCTTTCCTATTGGCTACGAGGAGGTGCGTTCAATCTCGAACCCACCTGCTGACGTATGTTTAGGAGGTGGGTTCGAGATCGATGTTTTGGCGGCGGCCATTATGAAGCGATTTGAACAAATTTCAGACGAAGATTTAAATAAAAAATAAATTAACTGTTTTTAATTGTTTTATAATTATTATATTTTTTATTTTGTTTGATGAAAATGGAATATTCTGTATTCAAAGT